ATTTCGCCATGCCTAGAATGAATCAACAAAGAGGAAAAATTTAGCAAGTCTAGAATGAATTAGCAAAAAAATGATAGAGAGTGGATCTGCAAAACCCATTAATGGCAACAGGGACACCGGTACGACCAAGGTGCAAGGGTGACAGGCTTGAGTAAAAGGGCAATGTTTCGTTTTTCGGCAGGTATCTTGAAAATTGGCTAACTTTTGGCATAAGAAATTTCTTTACGAGTTTTGAGGAATGTTGTCACGAACTAGGCAGTCAAGTCAGAATTTCATATGAATCTATTGATAATTACAAACGGCCGGTGTTAAGGGCGCTTCTTTAAAAACGGCACTTCGGCCCCCTTGCCCCTTCTATCAAAGGCAACAGGAGCGGTTGATCCAAAGCGCCCCCTCCCCCCTCTGGCAATCCCCCAGAACCTAATTTGGGTGGAGGCTGAAAACCAAAGATAATTGGATGACTGTTGCGGTAGAGGAAATGAAATATAAGAAGGAGGTTTAATTCGGTCAATCAGATCGCAGCATGAACGGCGATCGTCAGGTAAGTCGATTCTATTTACGGCCTCGTGGTCTAACGGTTATAAAGTATGACTTCCGAGGAAAGGCCGCAAGCCGGCAGCGACGATTTCAAAGTGGCCAGTTGTACAAGGGCCATGGGAGACGAGTTTAAATATAACACATTGATGTGCCATAGGAAAAACCCTTAATCCGATGCTAAAAAGATGCGATCAAAGAAGGAAATCCTGAGATATCTGAGGGCTGATTGAAAGTAACAATGACCTATTGTATCATCAAAGGCAGATGGTTGTGGTTGGAGAAGAAGATATGAGCGAACAAGCAATTAATCGTCAAGCAAATGAAAATTCAAGGAAATCTACTGTGTAATGAGACGATAATAATAATCATAATGATAGTAACAGAATGATGATCATGATTGTTATTATGATGATTGTGATGACGATGATGCACATTTAAAAATCAAAAATGATTATCTACAATTCTATATTGTATGTCAAATCTGGTTAACCGTTCCAACTGGGAGAGGGTTTGCACGTACCCACATTGACCCACAAGTCCATGTTTTTGGTAAGGCTCCCTTATCCGCACCATCAACTTTGACACATCCATGAAACACACAAGTTTGGCCTATGACAATTCAGTGACGTCAATAAACGTAAAAACGTAAGAATTCTTAGTGCTACGAAAGAGCTGTGATTCCAGCAAAGAGGGTTTCGTATTTCCAAGGGTCAGGGAGATTTCACGGTGAGAAAATAAGGAGGACGAAGCCACGCCTTTAACTCAATAACATATATCTAACATGTTTGAAGATCTTTAGGCACTTTCTGATGCAACTTCAAATATTTGTTTGGAGATAACACCGGAATTATCGGTTTCAATGTAGCATCGCTCTTATAATTCCTGAATAAACGAATGGATGAAACTTAGTAAAATGATTAATGGCACTAGAGAACCATTTGCATAAAAAACTAGTATTCTGTGTGAATACAATGCACCTAAGGGAATAGGCCATAAGAAATTAGCATTTAGAGCGAAATGATATGTAGGCAGAGCTAGTATCAGGGACGCTTGAACGACCGAGGGGCAAGGGGGGAGGGGGGCAGACGTGAGTAAAAGGGCATTTGAAAGAACTACCAGCTTCTACTGATTCCTTCCATCAACTGGCATTTTATTTTGATCTTCTGTAGGTATCTTGAAAATTTTCTAACTTTTGGCATAAGGAAGTTTTTAAAAGTTTTGAGAAATTTCGTCATGAAGTAAGCACTACAATCAGAATTTCAAACGAATCTCTCTGATTATTACATTTGGCCGGTTCAAGTGCACTTTGATGAAAAGAGCACTCTGCCCCCTCTTGCCCCTCCTATCAAAAGGCAACAGGGGCGGTTGGCCCCCCGCACCCCCATCTCCGGCATCCCTGGCTAGTATCCGCCGCTGAAAACGAGTCAGTCAGGACGCTCTTGAAGACAAAATGACCCAGAAGGGGCACAGATGTACGAGGTATGTAAAGGTGGGCAGCCCAGGTAGAAAAAAGGGACCTCTGAGGACTGCAGATTGGTAATTTACCCCTGTTTCTGTGGGGTGTGGAGGGGGAATGTGCCTTCTGTGCTGCCTGTTTCTACGTCAATGCAGATTGGTGACTCCCCCTAAATTTTTAAAGTTGTCTCAAATAATAATCTGTCGACTTTAAAAGCGCCAAGAAATTAGATAAGATTCTTTAAGAAAACAATGATACAAAGTCGCCTTGGTTTATCGCCTGAAAATTTTCATCCCACGATTTCATGAAGGGTCTAATTCCTATATCCTAATTTCGATTTTGAGAAAAAACGTTGTTCAAAATTGCATTTTGCAGAAGCTCAGCTTCAGCTTGTCCTTAATTTGTTCTTAACTTTTGAACAATTTTGAGGCTCGTGTTCTTATAAAACTGTTCTTATAAAAAAGAGTGTAATAGGCAACTATTTCTTTTTTAAGATAACTGTAATAATAGGTGTAGGAGAATTGCAGGTTATTATAGGCAGGCTTCTATTGTACGTATATACGGCAACCTTGTATTATCATACATTCGCTCATAGGTACGGACACCCTTGAAACTCCTAGAGCTCAGCAGCAAACATGGTGGTCCCAAGACCAAAGACCCTGCGGAAGGCCAATTTAAAAAAAAGAAACTTAGTGCCTCAACCGAGCACCGACTTGTTTTACTGTTTTTTGAGCAAAATTATCAGAACTTAGGGGTATTTTCTGGAGAAATGCTGGTCAGAAACAGAGAGGCAAATAAGGGGATATGGAGGGGGGTCACACTCTCCCCAATATTTCCGACCAGCCGGTCATAATAATTGTTAAAGGCCAAAAGTCGGTTCTTTCTACAGCTCATGCCCCCGAAATTCACTTGTCATGACACCAATCTATTTGCGCTCATGCTCAGAAAATGTCTAAACAGGTGATTTGGTTGGGGGTTGTAGTTTATCGGTATTGGAAGATTTCCCACAATGAGTCTTTCTTTTTAGGTGGGCTGTTATCCAAAATCTGCCTCAGGGCTGCCATGTTATTGTTCTTTTCAGTGTCTCATGTTCGACATTGATTAATTTGTGTCCGGAGATTCCACATGCTGTTTTCACATTGATGGCTTTTCTTGACTAAGAGGGGTAATCTCTCTAATGGCATTACATGACGAATTGACGCAGAAAACTCTGGCTTGGGTTAGGGAAAACACCTCAAGGGCTCTCAATGGCAGTCACTGAAGCAAAATCAGTGATATGTTTGAAAACATAGCTATGGTGTATATGTGTTTAACAGGCACCGTGCAGCCATTGGGCTAGTACTCCTAAGTAGTAGCAGTTCTTCTTGACTGGAACCCTTTTGTTCACTTTCTAGGTGTTTTTCTCGATGGTTTATTATCCCCAAGCTAATTTTATCTTTTTTATAGTTATTGATATTTTCTCTGAACCTGATTGTTTATAAAACCCCAGTAGAAATAAGCCAGTATTCTCTAAAAGGGGCGTTTTCCTCAAACAATTTCGGTCACCCCCTTTTCAGCCCTCCCACATTTAGATTGGTGCACGGTCCATGGTGTTTAAGAGGATCTCTAAAAAGTTTTTTCTCATGCTTTCAGTAATTTATGAGTGCTATTAGAAGGCTCGTTTACCAGGAAATACAATTAGGGAAGTTTTCACTTTCTTAATCATCATTTGTAAAACCGGCTCAAAAATTGGGCAACTTATATGTTACTTTTATGAGCAAAAACAACAAACCTTCCCATTCAGATCCATGCTTCAAATTGGTAAATTTCAGTGTCAAATGGTTTTCCATTTTCATAGGAGACAATAATTTGTTGGATAGTGGGTGAAAATAATTCATGGAGCATCAAGAAGGAAAATAGATGCAGATGTCCAAAAGGTGCAGCTAATGAGCAACAAAATGTCTGAATTTCTTTGAAATTACAACAAATCCTTAATCGTGTCGAATCGTTGTGGTTTTACAAATATTCACGTGTGTAGGGATACCAAGGACACCCTCCTTTTATGAGGGTTGTGGAAATGTACACTCGTTTTTTTATAAGAAACTAAGGTCCGGTGCTGGTAGGCAATTTCTAAAATTTTCTGGCCATTTTGTTATCAAAAGTTTTCTTACACGTTTCTTAAATTTCTTAGGTAAACAATATTTTAAACGTGCTTCCAAGCAAAAGTAAGTATATCACTTACATTCGGAGATAAACTAACAAAGCGATCAAGAAATTTTGCTTTCTGTTGAGATCTGTAAACAGTTAAGCTCATTAAACTTCATCAATGTCAAGACAAAACAAAGTTTTAAAAGGAAACTTCTTGAGTGTGCAATTTACTGAGAATGAATGCAAACTGCATGTCAAGTGTAGTGTTGCAATATACAGTGATATTCAATGACAAGAGTGTCAACTCGGAAAATTAAAACTGCAAATAACAAAAGTTTCTTAGTTTTTTTTCAATTTAGGTAGGGTTGTTTCTTAACTTTCGAAAGATCGAGCCTACCGTTTCTTATAACCTGTTTCTTATAAAAAATTGAGTGTAGCCTGTTGGTGATTTCATCATTCATTTTCAAACAATTTGATTCAAAAGCTAGGTACAGATTTAGGGGTGCCGTCCTAAAAAGTTAGGAAGAGGGACTGTGCTGTAGAAAGATTCAAAGGCCACACCAACGACCACACCCTTACCACACCCAATATACTTGCATCTGTATTAAACCTCTCCGTTGCCTGCAGAAAACATTCAAACTATTCGATGACACAAACAATTTGATAAGAAATTCACGAGAAACCTATAGTAAAACAAAGGATGCCAACACAGAATTCAAACTTAATATGGACTCACTTGTTATGGGGGTTGAACCCCCTGAGCCCCCCTCCACAGCAACACTGTACAGATATAAACTTACGTTCAAAAGTGAAGTTTCTTGATAATTAAAAATTTGAGCCCCACCCCCCTGCTCCGCGGTGCCTGTTTAATATAACTTTTTCCAACTTTCTTACAGCGCACTTGGATCTATACCCAATCATTTGAATTTCTCAACTTAATCTTTAACATCTGAAAACGAGAATCATTAAGTCCAGCTAACAAAGTCTTTTTAGTATTTTCAAAAACAGAGTCAGCGATTGCTCCCTCCCCCCTTATTTTATCGATCGCTGTGTTTCTGACCTCAAAGCCTCTTAAAAACAGAAACTAATAGCTTTTTGAATAATCTCAGGCTACCCAGTTTCGTAACCACACAAGATACACAATTTTCATATCAACACTAAACAAGAGTGAAAAACAAAAATGCTTGTAGTTGTTTAAGTTATTCATTAACATTAAAACGATAATTTTCATTTACATTGCATATTCTAAGATACCTAAATTCTGTAATTCATATGCATTTAAAGATGTACTATGTATAATTAATATGAGTCTAATAAAGAGTCTGTTCTGCAAGAGGCCAAAGTCCATCATGGCCTAAACAGGGCTTTGTCGATGGCTATTTCAAGTTCTGGCGATGACGAATATCGACCTCGTTTCCATCAGGGTAGCCTTGGCGGTTCGGCAAATTAGCCTCGAATGCGTATTTTCAGAAACTTTTGCAGAACATTATGTAATTATTTTCTCACGTGGGGGTCGGTCCAGGTTCCGTTTGACGCATTTGACAATCCAACGGATTCCATCTTCAATGTGGTCGCTAGAGGTAAAACAGGTGTATACAAACTTCTACTAAAAACCAGTGATTTGTTCAAAAAATAATCTTTAGCAAAGTTTTATTATTCACACTCTTATAAAACTCGAAATACATGTTATTGTGTCAGTTAAAATTTGCTCAGTGGGGAAGTTATGAGACAAGCGCTCAATTTATATCAGGGCCGTCGGAAGCGGGGGGGGGGGGGGGGGGGTTGGGGGGTTATGAATTCCGTTCCGACGGCACTGTTATATACATTAAATATTAATACCTAACTGTCAAAGGAAACTAAACATAGAGATAAAAGGAGACAATATTTCTTTTACAATTCATTCAAATTTATAATCTTTTGCAATACGATTTTCAAAATTATCCAGAACCTTTCAAAAAAGTGGTTTCAATAGCTAATAAAAATCAACGTTTTAAAAAGCTGAAAAGATTTACAATGCAAAGATAGCCTATCAGGATCCGCCACTGGCTGCTCTAAATTTTTCCAAAAATTCACTGACAAAGCACCCCTAAACGGCGAAAATTCTACATTTTTGAGGTCGAATTTTTTCAAGGAGGTTTCACAACTTTGCTCAAAATTGCATTCATCAGCTTGTTCGTTATTTGTTCTTAGCTTTTGATCAATTCTGAGGCTTGTGTTTTTATAAAACTGTTCTTGTAAACAAAAGGTTAAGGAGATGTTGCTCAGAATTCATAAATGAAAAATTGAAGAAAAATAGAACAATGTCTAGACTAGCTTCCACTGCTTGCACCAAGATAGCAAGAATCAGTTTTCGATGCCTTGTTTTAACTACTTCTAAGTTCAAACACGGGGAAGAAAAACTATAAAGGAAAAATTTTTGAACCACGTGGCCCAGGAGTTACAACAGCTTCCAGCAATTAGCATAGGACATCATTTCCCAATGAGCTAGCACCAATCCGACCTTATTCTGAAATCATAGCTGTTAGCAACTTTGAGGGGTTGGCCTCGGGCAACCAGGGTATCATATAGAAAATGAAACATCAAAACAAATTTAGCATAATCAGAACTATTGCCTCTATATGCAAAGTTGCCGCTTGCCTATAGAGAATGTTACCAATGGAGTCCTAAGGTGAAAACGAACTCCTTAGTAGTACGAACCCCTGAATAGCTGTTCTCCAGGAAAATCTTTTTTAGTTGTTCAAGCTCTGAGCCGAGTTTAGATTTGAAACAAATCATCAATGCCCTATGAGTAAAACATTAAAGGAGCAAACGTAGAGCCTTGTAGGAATCAAGGAATGGGTTCGCTGGTTATGCAATCATGAAAACAATTCATTCATTGTTACATGATTTAGTTCAGCAAGCAAACAGATCTGCAAACACAAAATGTCATTCTCAAAGCAATCAAATAAACTTACATATATTTCTTGTCTAGTAATTACTTGGTATCACTCAATGTCAACAAAAAACTTTGCTTACTTTTGCCGATTGTTGGATGAAAAACTGCTTTATGAACAGAGTAAAAAGTATGTTTATCTTTGCTAGGGTCCAGAAATAAAACATTTGTTCAGACATCGCAGGCAGTGACTAAGATGCAGCTGATAAAGCGGATATTGATCGTGAGTTTTTATAAAAAATGAGGCACACATCATTACATTTTTACATTATTTGTGTTGCTGTTTGCTCGTAAATGACTCGCCTTCCCAGATCTGTCGGAAACGATCTGGAAATCACCATGGATGTTAATCACCCAACTTACCATCAATATTACCATTGCCTATATTACACGTAGCCAAGATCGTCTTCATGAAAAACAGCACAAAACACCAGAAGAGTACATAAAGAAGGTGTAGCAAGTGTCATATGCCCAGTTTTCGCGAGTCGGTGCAATCTTCAGTTACACTCTTTTTTATAAGAATAATTTAAAAAGAACACGAGCCTTAAAATTGGTCAAAAGTTAAGAACAAATTAAGAACAAGCTGAGGCTGAGCTTCTGCAAAATGCAATTTTGAACAACGTTTTGTCGCAAAAACGAGGATCTGTTGTGACTTGGGCGGGACATGTGTACCACAGAGAGAAAAATGCTTTCGAATAAGAAGATATTATATATAACAAATTAAGAACAATAAATATATATATATATATATATATATATATATATATAGGTTTTCTGTCTCCTTCGCAATTGGATCTTTAGCCATGTGTGGGTGCTTTTTTGGTGAATTTTCAAACTTGTCGGTATAAAAAGGTTGGCAAATGAGGACTGAACACCTCCCTAGAGCGAAAACGCTAACAATCGCACTGCTTATACCCTATTAATCTGAGAACAAATTGAGAACAATCGAGTTTCAGATTTTCGGAAAAATTAAGAACAGTCAGCCAGAACTTAAATTTACTGGTTCTTACAAAACAAAAGTGTAATTGCCAAAATCTTTAGCTGGTAATAAAAATTCCCCTACGGAGAAGAAATAGGAACAAATTTTTTTCATCTTTGTCTTGGTTGGGAAAATTTCAAGACACACTGCTGTCAAAAATTGTTCGACCTTAAGTGCGTCAAAGGACCGTACCAACGGCGACTGACCTAGTTCTAAGCAGGACAAATTTTGTGAGTCGTGTAAATCTGAAGTGAGTTGTTGGCGAGGAGTATAACTTTGGCGAAGTATATTGTCTTACTCCGCTCCTAACCGTCTACGACTACTCATAAGTTACGGCTCATCCCAATCTGTATTTACCCTATCAAAGTTTTACGTGGCCGGTCAAAAGACTAATAGAGAAAAACAGATTTGTAGGGCAGTTACCTCAAAAAAAGCAGTGATGACTTCGAAAAAGATATCGTCAGGAAATACCACCAGAGGCGGACACTGGTCAAATATTTGGGGGGGGCAAGCCTATTGTTTTAATAAGATGACGTCCCATTTCCCATTGTTTTAGAACAAAAGACCATTGTCCTATAAAGTATTTGGGGCGGTCAGCCCCCTCGCCCCCCAAGGGTCCGCCTCTGAATACCACCTTTATAATTGGAGACATAAAATGCCACGAGAACGACAGATTTAAAGTTTCATTGCGATTAAACGACCCTAGCAAACATAAACCGCGATTCCTGACTGTAATTTTCAATCAAAAAAAAAAGACATTGCATTGTAGATAAAAAATATTTCAAAGTGATGAAAAATCAACTTTTTCTAAGGAAATTAATCATGATAAGCAGATACCGCGGAGCTGGGGGTTCCTTAGCCCCCCACTCTTTGCAAAAATGACACAAATTAAGTAATAGAGTACCAGAAAAGCCTCTTTTTATACTGTTTTAGCCCTTCCCCAACTTTACTCAACGCTCCGCGGTGCCTGATAAGTATTATTCTATTGAACAATTCAATCACACCGGACTAATTTTTGACCTGCTGATATTTGGATTTTTATTGAAACACTTCCTAATACCCAAATTATCACCAAAAAAAGAAGAACCACAAAATAAGAAGCCTCTTATTCTTCAATGAGCTGTAAAATCGAACACTTGAATAATAGCCAGGTGCTACGTCAATCGCAACTTGTTCTTTGTGATACCAAATATGGTTTCAAGAAAGCTGGATATATGGACCGCCAACAGCTTATCTCAGGCACTGCTTTGTTTATTAAAAATATCCAGTGCTGAGGAAAGGGGGTCAGGGGGGTCACTGACCTGGGGGCCCATGACTTTAGGGGCCCATAGATAAAAGGGTCAATTATGGAGCTATGGTAAAGTTTTTTCGGAAATTTCAGTACCTTTGGACAATTTTAACGGTATTTCAGCTGATGCAACACTAGCAGGCAAAGTCAGAAACAACCTTAATGCAATGAAAACACTTGGAAATAAGTGTTTTAAACTCAGATGCTTAAGCTTGTTCAACAGCTGCATTGGTTGATGCTTCTTAGAAAAAGTGACTCCTCAGTGATGTTAGGAGATATGTCATCCTTTTTTGCTGCGCAGAATTTCGCTTTTTTTTGCTAGGTCATCTTCCTTCAATCTTGTGTATAATCAAAGAATACTGAACCCCTCCTATATCTCGCCAATTGACACGAATCGCCTAATTATCTTTGCTGTAACACTATCAATAATAACAATGCCAACATTTATCTTGAATTTTACCAAAGGCCTTTACCTGGTTTTCACTTCAAGATAGAGATATACTTGACTGATTTCCCTTGGTCTTCATTTTTTTGGAACATCTAGCCCCTCGTCTAAACGAGCTTCTTCCAAAATCGAATCAACTAGTTTTTTATTGACATTGAAAGGTTGCATTCTGATTGCTAGATGTTAAGTTTTTCAAATTATTTAAATAGTGAAAATCTGTCTAGTCTCCTTCCACCACAAAAAATCGTTTTAGCCCCCCTCAATATGCAGCATACTCCGCAGTCATTGCATTGAGGCCATCCAGAATTCAAACGAGGATGGTAATTTGATGTATGATTTGTTTTTTACAGTCTTTTCAAGTTGTTCTGATAAAACTTGAAAAACAAGCCTGACAGTTATCCTCGCGGTTTCAAGCTAAACAAGGCGTTTTGAGTGACGTAGAATACTTAAAAAACACCTGGTACAAAATGATCTTATTCAGGATAAGGAAACTGCGGTTTCGTAAATCTATAGATTAAAGTGCAAGGGTTTATCTATTGACAGAAGTGATACTTGAAAAGGCGTTCGTGTTTCAAAAACGCAGCCAAATAACAACCAACCTCACGCAATAAGAGAACCGCAACAGATTCATAAGAACAGTTATCTCTGCGAGATGCAAAAACCCAAAGTGCTAGGACCTTGCTGTGAAGGATTTTGTGGTCAATTATAACCAGGGAGAAGCAAAAATGTCCGTCAACATTAATTTTGTCCCCTTTGAAACTTAGAAGCTAAAATCGATGTCATAATTATCATCATGAAATATTTTACTGGCATTGATTGTGTGAATTTCTTTTGATAAAGCTATTCACTGAAATTTCCGTTCTGATAAAGCAGGCCGAAGGCTGTGATCTTCCCTAAAGTATAAACAATGTCAGAATATTTCGGAAATTT